GGGGGGCATCGAAGATGATTCTACTTATCGGAAATATGAGTCTTTATATAAATTAAGCTGGTACCATAAAAGCATAGTTCAAAGTGTCAATTCAGAAGTAGAAAATATGGCTATTAATCATAGTGATATGGATTATGATTCTTTCAAAGATTATCTTAATATTGTATATAGTTTATTTTATCTTTGATGAGAAAGTTCTTCTAATTAATTCAAGAGTGCCTTGATTTTCCCAGTTATTACTCGAGCACGCTGAGGCAACTCTGAACTAAGCTTAGGGGAGGGGTAGTAGGTATGCTTCCCTCCAGCACCTTGAAGATCGAGCTTTTTGAAAAGTGGATTTCTCCCATCATCCATCGTCTTTGTTTGTTAAAGTATGGAATTCTCACCAAGAGCTGCGGAATTCACGACTCTATTAGAAAGTAGAATGACCAACTTTTACATGAATTTTCAAGTGGATGAGATCGGTCGAGTGGTCTCAGTTGGAGATGGGATTGCACGAGTTTACGGAACTAGGGCGGACATAAGCTCACCAATTAGGATGCATGATTGATTTCTTTAATAGGTATGAAATGAAGATGCCTTGAAATAATAAAGTACCTCTCATAATAGCTACTTTCTTACTTATGTTTCTGATCAATAGAAAAAGAGTTGCTGTCCTCAAGTTCAAGGCCTTAGAATTATAAGGGAATTACGTGGAACCTCTCTTTTCAATAAGCATTCTACCACTAACTATGGTTTCTCAACTCTTACCTTTTAGTACGAGAATGGATGGTCAGAGGTTTAAGGATACACATCGCTCGTCATATAGAAAAGGTATCTAGCTCGTCCCTCTAGCGCTCATAAAAGAAATCCTGGCTTTCCTTCTCTAAACTATTCTTTTGCAAACTCTGCTCTACTGGTTTGTAATTTCCCTAGCTTACCACAAGATAGAGTTTGAGCCTTATTGGATAATACATATCTTTCGACACCTAAGAATTTAGAGAACCTTTGATAGAAGGCAATATCTTACCTACTTTGGTTCTGATGTGTGGGGGAAGGAGGGAATTCCATCCACTTAGTAGCTGATACTTTGACTACTTTACCTAGCCCAAGCCAGACTTGGGTTTATAAATAAAAAAAATTCCCACAAATGGAATGAGAAGTGGGTCCATGTAAATGATCGAGACCTCACAAACAACAACGTTCCTTCCCCATATGGAGTTCGGGACCCAAAGGCAATCGTCCCTTCATACGGCTCGAATCATTCTTAGATGCCCCGAGAGGCATCTTTCCTTATGATCTGGTGGTTCACACGCGCGCAAATGAGCACCGGGTGCAACAGCAAGGAACTATGACCAATAGAGTCCGACACAGAGCGTCATACTTCTTTATCTTGTGATGGTTGAGGAGTTTCTTTCTCAGAGGGTGCGGGACGCTTGCAGAGTCCGTATCTAAACTCATGCTTTCAATGGAAAGACTCCCTTCCCTCTTGCTTCCTTGCCCCTAACCTTTTCATATAGCCCGCCCCTGCTAGATCGATATCCCCTTACAACTAACTTACATCATTTATCCTATCTCTGACAATCAGTGGGTCAGTCCAATTCATATTGTACCCAAGAAAGGAGGCATGGTTGTTTTAGCAAATGAGAAAGGTCAAATGATTCCCACTAGGACTGTCACCGGTTGGCGCATGTGTACAGATTATCGCAAGCTTAACAAGGCCACCCGGAAGGATATGTTTGGGTTTATCCCATGAAACTGCAAAGTGAAGTCTTTTTCAAATTTTATCAATTCAAGGCGCGTATCGGTCAGATAATATTTATTCAGATCCACTTTTTGGAAAAGAATATTTAAATTCAAGTTTGACGAAATTATTTGCTACATATGGAATTGAATTATATATCGTATATCACCTTACCTACAAGATCCTTTACATAAAAATAAGGGTAAGAAGCTATTTTATCCATCTCAGAATGTACACCCAATGGATTATTTGATCCATATTGATGCAATGCAGCCAGATGAAGAAGACTGGCGCCTGCTAAAATAAGGGGGAGTAAATGATAGAGACTAAAAAAACGATTTAAGGTGGCATTGTCCACGGAAAAACCATCCCAAAGCCAAGTCACTATGGTATCTCCTACTACTGGTATCGGCGCTAGCTAAGCTTATAATTATTGTTGTTCCCCAAAAGCTCATCTGACCTAAGGTGGTACGTACCCTATAAAAGTTGTCACAATCATTAATAGGAATATGACAACTCCGACACCAAACAAATTCCCTAGGACTGCTATAACTCGCAATGTAGTCACTTAGCTCGATGTTAATTAAGAGAGTAAAGGAGGAATACCCTATATAGAAGAACTGTTGTTCGCTTACAAAGGTATAACCTTTCGCGCCCCTCGGGGCAAAGCTGCTTCGCACCACTGATAGGCGACAAGATAAGGGAAAGACAAAGCAAGAAGGTCCCTGTCTTCCCCGAGAGTCTTCCTCTTAGGGGAAAATACCTTCCTCAGCATCTAACTATAATGGCTAGCTAATATGTTATGTCCCTTGCCATTAATTCAATTTTCTTACTACCCTATTCTTTATTTGAAATTTATTTAGGACTCCAACACTTTTTAGGGTCGCATTAGAAGCAAAACAGCCACTGAATGAATGTCACATGGCATGTTAGAACACATTCCTTCATTGGAACAAGTGCCGCAAAGCCAGCAGATGTAATTGGCACAACCAAAACTTAGTACTTGTAACACATTACTCTTGTGGACATCAGCTTCACATGGATGGGTTGTATGTTTTATATTCTAGGTGACTGTCATACATTATAGTATGATGGAAAGCATGCATTCAGTGAGGCTTCATGTGTAACAAATGTCTAAATTGAGAACGCAAACATTGCTGTGATTTTTTTATTTGAATAGTAGAGGCCATCGTATTAGGGTGTCGTCAATTTTTCTTTGCCCGCAGCAAGTCAGCAACATAAGGGCACTTAAATAATAATAAAAACTAAGGATGTGAAAAATAACGTAAACATCCATTTGTTTTTAGGCCTACTATTGGAATTTTAGATTTTCTAATATATTTTACTAATTTGTCTTAAGTTATAATTAGCCATTGTTATAAAAAAATTTCATATTAAATGATATTTGAAATATAAACTGTTCATATAACTTAAATTCTTTAAACATACATGGCATTTGATTAATTATTAGTAAAAATTTATATAGATCAACTTTTGAAAACCTAGATGTATAGTAAGAGTCAATTTACATCCAGTAGAGCTACCTAAATATTAGATGATATCTCGTTTAGATCTCCAACTAACAAGATAATCCGAAACAAAAAAATTTTTGTAACTAAAATAGTTAATAGTTATACTATTTATTAGAGTTCCACAACATGCCTACACAAAGATGGAACTGAGATTATATTGCACTGCAAAACCCAAAAACCATAAGACCTCGTTTGGATTCTTGGAATTGAATTTATTTTACTAATTATAAGTTAGACATATATTAATTAAGCTAATTTGATTGTATATGTATTATATTTATATATAATTATTGGTTATACGAGAGAAATACTTATGTGTTGCATTTCTATCGTAGGTGAGCGAGTTGAAAAGCGTGTTATTAGTTGCAAAGTAGAAATATAGCATGGTGGTCTATAGAATCAATTTCATCTTCCACCATATAAATTTGAGATAGACTTATATGTGAACTTTGAAAAGTGGTGGAATATCAAATTCCAAGCTAAATAGCCTAATTTATTATGTAGATTTCAATTCCTTTAAATGAAAGGATCCAAACGGCCCCTAAGAGTTTATTAACAAACAACGTAAAACCAAACCAAATCAAGGCGTCCCCATGTCACCATCAAACCAATCCTCCTGATAAAACACTCAGCTTGATCAATTGCAATCAAACCAATCCTCCTGATAAAACACTCAGCCTGATCAATTGCACTTATTGCAGTTACAACGCTAGTCACACATGCAGCCATCCTAAAGTATAGCGACTAGCCCTTTTTATCCATGAAGCTAATAATTAGCCGCTAACAATTAGCTAAATAGATCTGGCCAATAGCCTAGCTAGTTTTTAGCTGGCCATGTTCGGATCAAAAGGATAATACTTAATTGCTAATAATTAGCTCCTTAAACCTAAAAAAGTCTAACTAATAGTTCAACTAATTATTAGCTTAACACCAAATTAATAATTGTTTTACTAGTTGGACCAAACTAGATCAGAGCTAATATTAGTTGTGGCCTACGTATTAGTTAGCTAACTATTAGTAGTTAATAGATCCAAATAAGACCTTTAACTAACAATTATCTTACTAGTTGATCAAACCAGCTAATAACAGTTAATGGGTCAAAACAAGGTCTAATTATCCTGACAACAGCGACACATTTCAATATGCCCGATGCCATCCCATCTGGAACTGCGCAGGCGCCTGACTGGCTCAACAGAACAAACCCCCCGAGGGGCAGTTCGGACCTTTCCTGTCACCCGACCGCCAGCGCATATCCTCTGCGCACGGGGATAATGGCGAGCACTACTGGCCAGCGCAACCGTCCCCGCGTACACCGTCAGCATGGCCGCCGATGCGATAAAAAAACTCCAACTCAAATTCCTAATGCAGCCAGCCCAACCGATCTGCTCCGTCCATCGCCTCAGGCGACGGCTCTCCTCGCGCCACCTGGTGGGTCCCCGGTCCGCTCCAACTCCACCGCCTCCTTTCCCCCAATCCACCCGAAGGGATTTTATTTTATTCAATCACGACCAAAAACCTAAAAAAGAATTAGAAACGGAAGAAGAACAGCAAGCGAAGCATCGCCAGGTAATCAACTCGTCCTCCTGTCCTTCTTCCCCTGGCCTCACCCGCCGCGCCAAATTCGGCGCGATTCGGGCGGGATTAGTTGGAATTCCCCTGAGAATCGGAGCATTTTTTGGAATTGGTAGATTGGTATATTGATCGATTGATTGATCGGTGGCGGAGGAAGGGGAGGAAGGCGGCAGATGGCGGCGTGCCGGGGCTTCTTCGAGTGCCTGCTCAGGCTGCTCAACTTCATCCTCACCGTCGCCGGCCTCGCCATGGTCGGCTACGGGATCTACCTGCTCGTCGAGTGGATGAAAATATCCGAGGACGGCAGCGGCGGGAGATTGACGTCGGAGGTGCTCGTCTCCGGCCGGCCGTTGTTGGGAGCTGTCGCTCTCGGTGACAGCTTCCTCGACCAGCTACCCAAAGCATGGTGAGATGTTTGCTTGCCCATGGACCCTTTTTGTTTCTGATGTATTAATGTTGATCTCGCGACTGATTAGGATTTTGGATTAAGAGGAACTGCGAGGTTTGCTTAGTAGGGGTGGCAATCGCAATTGTGAATAGGACAAGTGTTACTTCAATTTTCCATGTAGTGGATGATTAAGAGTCGAATGTTTGAAATATGCAATGATATTATGATAGCCAAACTCTTGCAGTTGCAAATTGCAGTCTGATGAAGCATTTGTTACTCAGATTGATGAGCCTGTTAGGCAGGGGGTAAATTCTATGTGGATTGGAATTGTTCCAAGTTTCCAGCCGGAACCTTTGATTGACTCTTTAGTTTGGCAATTATGGGTTTGTTCTTTGTTTTTTACTGCCAAGACGATTGTGTTTGACATGGAATCGCCTCTGTTCCCTGCAGGTTTATTTATTTGTTCATTGGTGTTGGTGCTATCGTCTTCCTCGTGTCTCTGTTTGGCTGCATTGGAGCAGGGACAAGAAACACCTGCTGTTTGTGTTTCGTATCCTTTTTAATGTGCCTCTTAGACATCATTCTGTTGTCCTCTCTAAAGAAGATTCCATTTGTCATACACAAGACACTAAAAAGTACTTGGAATTATGCTCAACATTAAATCCAGACAGGCTATTAGTAGCTGAACCTGCTAAACGAACAAACTTTACTTCTGTACTACTCTGAAACACCAATCTTATAGAACAGCAGTAGCAGAGGCAATAAGATTTTAACTATTTCTGCAGCCTTATTTCGTCAAAGGCAGTTATTTGACATTTTATAATGATATAAGATCACAGTATTAATTCATGCTTGTTTCCTTTGACTTCTAAAAAAGTATGCTTTCTTGGTCATATTGTTGATCCTTGCTGAAGCTGGAGCTGCTGCATTCATCTTCTTTGACCAAAGCTGGAAAGATGTGAGTATTCTGTTTGGTGCTTGTCTCGGGAACTAAACTACTACAATGTAACTTGTCTTATCATTTCCTTGAGTAGCTGTAGTTATCCATAGACTTCTTTTGCAGGTAATTCCAGTGGACAAGACACATAACTTTGATGTTATGTATGACTTTCTGAAGGAAAACTGGGAGATTGCAAGATGGGTTGCTCTTGGCGTTGTTGATTTTTGAGGTAGGAGATGAGACTAATCTTACATCCTTTGATCTTAACAAAACTCAAAGGATGCTCATCTGATCCTTATTTTTCCAATGCTTGTATTTGCTTATTCAACTTCTACTCCATAAGTTGTCCTAATATTCATGCAAATGCTTTCCAACTCTAAATCCCATCCTTGGCCCCCTTTCTAATTTCTCGTCACCCTGCACTGTATGTTTTGTTTAACCTGTTAGTAGAGTATGGAGGCTTCGGGCTTTCTGTCTTGAGATGCATAGATGTTTGTCCAATGCAGATTTATTCTGCTGTTATGTTTGTTGTAATCAGCTGATAATGAACAAATTATAGGTAATTTAAAACTTAGCATGATAATTAATGGTCTGGCCCAGAAACTATTGACACCTTAATTCTGTATTGCCTTAGAAAGGATTTTGTCTTTTCTTTTAGCTGCCGCTTGTCAAGTATAGGCTGTATGTGGGTAGTCACACCAAAACTAAAACAAATGCCGACTGATTTGCAACAGGGAGTGCTCTTTCTGTTAGCTCTGGTTGTCAGGGCAATGAACAAACCTGCTGAGTATGACAGTGATGATGAAATTATTGCAATTGGCCGAAGCCCTACCATGCGGCAGCCATTGATCCATGCCCAAAATGTGCCTGCCACTGGTGTTCCTGTCCCAACACTCGATCAGCGTGCAAGTAGAAATGATGCCTGGAGCCAAAGGATGCGAGAGAAGGTACATTACTTGATGGATTGTTTCAGCATTATGATTATGATATGCTTTGTTCTCTCTCTTGACGACAGTTATATTTGCACCTAATGCAGTATGGTCTGGACACGAGCCAGTTCACGTACAACCCTTCAGACCCAAGCAGGTACCAGCAGAATGGCACGCCACAGGCTGAAGAAAGGAGTCGATGCACTATAATGTGAAGAATCCTTCATGAGGGCCTACGAGATAATGGTTTTCGTGAACAATCCTTCATGAGGTCCAACAAGATAATTGTTTTCTTGAACGGGATACCTCAGCTTGTGTAGTTTGGTGTTACGGTGTTGTTCAGACTTCATAGCGGTGTGTGGAATAGAAGAATCCTGACCATATTGTTTGTCATGCTTGATATGTCTTCTCTGCAAATGTTCTATACACCTGTAATTTTATTGTGAATGAGGAACTGTTAGCCATTGACATCATCTATTTTGTATTTTTTGAGGTTTGTTTCTTGTTGCCAATCCCCCTTTTTTCATGTAGCTCTGTTTAATCTAATATTTGGTTGTGCCGTGAAGTGAGATGAGACTGGTAGAATCTGTTTTGCTTTGTGTATATTGGAAATGAGTTAGGTCTGGATTTCTTAAGGGCTTGTTTGGCTGCTCACAAATACACCCCAATCCACATGGTTTGGGAGGGATTAAGGTGGAATTTAGTTGTGGATTTATGTGCAGCCAAACAAAGCCTAATAAGGAGGGTAAAAGTTTCCACCGGGTTTTCAGCTATTGTGAAAAGACTAGTCTCGATGAAGGATTTGTCGTTTACACGCTTCAAGGCTCATTTCTGATCTGCAACATAATCTTCCTCCATGATGCTAGAAGTCCATGCTGGAAGAAGACAATGCAATGATGGTTGTGAGATGCCTACTTTTACCGAATGCATTGGTTCCGTGTTATTATTTGATTATGTTACCAAATCGTTGATTCTTTGTATGACTAGACACTAAAATCCTAATTCATATACAAGTGATTGATTCAATTTCTTCCCACGAGCGGACCAGAGATCCCTAGTCAAGATGACAATGGGTACCTAAAACCCGACGGGATTTTACCCTATTAGGACAAGGATATGGGTCAATTCCTCTGGCTATGGGTTTGTTAATGGGCAAAAAGATAGACCCAGCGGGTTTGTGGGCATGGGTTTTTTAAACCCGGATCATATCAATCTAAAATACCCTTGCTCACCCTTCTTGGTACATATTTTACTTTCACTTGGTATATATACCCATAGAAAAGAAACAATATTTATTATTTAGTTGTTTTAGAAATCAAAAGTAAAAACCTATAAAGAAAAAAGTAAAAAAATAATTGATGACCTTAATGCTCCTAGGTGTAGCTGCGTAGGTACTCCTGTGCGGAATTCTGGAAATAACGAGTTGTGCAACCTGTAAAATAGCTTGTGGGCTATAGCCCACGTGCATGTATGCCCAGGCCGGCAGAGAGCCTAAGACAACTACCAGTCTATCACAGTCCACAGCAACGCAACCACAACAAACAGCCAACGCAGGTTAGTCCCACCTCGCTGAGAGAACCAATGTTGGCTACCAAGGTGAGTTATAAACCGTAGATAGGCTTTCAAGAGTGAGCATTGTGCCTTGGCGCCGCCGCGAGTATAAAATGGGAACTAACGAAATAGTCAGAAAATCAAAAATTGATGATATTGTCCACGTTTTTATCCCTGAGTGACATGGTGTCTAAGTCAAGAGAAAATTTTCTATTTGGTCCGGAAAATAATGCTTCTTTCCTACTCCCTCTATTTCAAATTATAAGTCATTTTAAGAATCTTGGAGAGTCAGTTTTTCAGGTTTGATCAAATTTATATAACAAAATAATAATATTTATCATACAAAGTAAGTATCATTAGATTCTTTATTAGTTATATTTTTATATTATATCTATTTGATGTCATCAATCTTTGTGTTTCTCTCTATAATTTTAGTCAAATTTGAAAAAGTTTGACTCTCCAGGATTCTTGGAATGACTTACAATTTGGGATGGAGGGAGTATTTGATATCGAATTTGAAAATCTTTCTATGTCCTCAACTCGTTCCGTGAGCAATCACCGTTAGGCATCGTAGTAGGGCCATGAGAAAAGACTAAAATACCCTTTCAAGAACCAAAAAGAAATCGGTCACCTCAGGAGTCGCGGCTCTTCCTCCCGAGTCGCGCTTGTACGGGCGGAACGTAACCCTAGATCGAGCGGCGGCCATGGACGCAGGCGGCTCGACCTCGGAAGCGGACGGCGTGGACTCGGAGCCAGGCGGAGCGGCCACGGGAGCGGACAGCGCGGCCAACTAGTCGCCTCGCGTGGCCGAGCGGCCTGCCCACAGGCAAGCAGTGGTGTGGAGCATGGCCTTGGTGGCTCATGGGCGGCGCCATAGGGCGGGCGGCGTGTCCAAGCACGCGACCCGCGCGGCCAAGCAGGCACCCCGACCGACGGCGTCAGTGGCGGGCGGCGCGACCTCGGTGCCGTGCGGCGTGGCCTCGGAGGAGGGTGACGCGGCCACGGAGGAGCCCCGCGCGGGCATGGAGACCGGCGGCGCGGCCACAGAGGAAGGCTGTGCGGCCAGGACAAAGCACCAACTCCCTGCAGGGTAAGTTTATCATCTTCATGTCCTCCATAGGAGCTCCATAGCAGTAGGGTTGGAGAAGTTCTCATAAATCCCATTGTTGCTATGCTCTCACAGGATGGATCCAGCTACTAGTTTTCTATTGAAAATTCATTTGCTTGGCAATCGCAAAAAAGGCTAGAAAAGATGTCAAATGTTTTAGTTTTGTAATGTTTTTTACTCAAATTTGTCGAATTATAAGGATTTCATTGACTCACAAAGAAGTACCCTTCAGGCTAATTGGAAGCTGCACATGTCCAGTACTATGATAATGTTCTTAAGAATTTTCCAGAAGTAAAATCAGAACAGGATTTCATGTCTATGTTTGATGTACACACTAAAGAGAAAGTTTGTTGTCAAAAAAAGGAGAAAGTTGTAGAGATGTTTGTCGCTTATTGTGATCCCTCAGAGAAATTTGAGCCTATCACTGAGTGGGAGTTTGATGGTAAACGGCATCCTGAAAATAATATAGAGGAGGATGACGATGATTACCTTAGAAATCCTTTACTAAAGAATGAACATGTTGGTATTGATGAGGAGATCATATACTTTGGACATTGTACCTGTGAATGTTGTAGATGTGCCTGGATGTTCTGAAAAAGGAAAGGAAAAAACAGTGGCTGAGGATGGCTCAAAGGATGAGTATGAGGATGAGGATGCTGAGGATGAGCCATATGAAGAAGTAAATCATCACCCAATTGTTGATTTTGATGAAGAAGATCCTCCTATGGAAGTAGGCACTACTTATCGTAACATGTACGTGTTCAAGTTGGCTCTTTGTCAACATGCAATCAAATATGAGTTTGAATTCAACACAGAGAAAAGTTCAAAAACTAGGTTCAGAGCCTATTGTTCAAGGAAAGTGGAGGATAATTGTCCATGGAGGCTACATGCATCTACAACGGTGGACAAATGCAATATTATGGTGAGAATAATTTTTTAGTTGCTACTACATGTAGGATGACAATGTTATGTTTTACTAATTAGCTATGTTGCTCTTTTGTAGGTGGAGAAGAACAACTTTGCTCATGCTTGTTCTAGCAGTAGAAGGAAGAAGACAGTAAAGAATGCTACCAAACATTGGATATGTTGGAAGGTGAAGGACTTTCTAATACAAGATGCTACTTTGGGAGCAACATAGAATTGCAAAAAAAATTAAAGAACACCACAAGATGAGCATCAACTACCAGAGGGTATATAAGGGTCAACAACTAGCATTGAAATAACTTTATGGTGATTGGGATAGCAGTTTTGATAATTTGTTTAGTTTTAAAACACAAGTTAAGAGCTCTTGTCCTGGTAGCAAAGTAATTGTTGACCATTACATAGTAAATGGGGAATTTAGATTTAGGAGATTCTTTTTTGCCATGAAACCTTGCATAGATGGGTTCCTTAATGGTTGTAGACCTTACTTAGCAATAGACCAAAGATAAACCAGAAGATGTTGTCAAGTTAAAGGGCAAAAGGAGGAAGAAAGAAGTAGATAAAAACTTTGCAAAAATCTTTTGTCATAGCTTGATAGCCCTGCAATGGGCACAAGGAACAAAAGACTTCAGCCTAGTAGTCTGGCACTGAGCACAAGAAGCAAAAGAAGGCTGTGTTTGTGATTCTTGTATGAGAAAATTGCCTAAATGTGTATTGTGTTAGAGATGTCTGTAATGGATGCAAACCTGTGAAAATATTTCTATGCATGTGAACCTGAATGTAACTCTTATTGTGATCATGGATGCTAAATATTGTTTTTATCTTGAACCTGTGAGTTTTCCAAAATAAATGTGTTATTGTCGTGCTGCATGTCATCTTTTCAAATTGGATGTTGTTGGAGACCTATTTTATTGTCGTTATTCATGTATCTAAAGAATTAATTTTACACTGAATATAATTATAAGTAATTATATAAGATGATGTTTGATCCTTTATTTATTTAATTTAACACAAGAAAAAATCTGAAACATTGCAGTTTGAGATAAAAACATTCATAAAAGATAGCAATATTAACCATGGAATGCCAGGACTGGTAAAAAAACTCCAGGGGTAAAACGGACTTTTCACATAGGACTTAACACTGTTAGCAACCCAAACTGACGGAAGTGCCAAATAGGAAAGAAAAACTCGAGTTGAGGACATATAGGAAAGATTTTCAGTTTCGGTGTCAAATAGGAAAGGAGCATTATTTTCAGGGCCAAATAGAAAATTTTCTCCCAAGTCAAACTACGGTGGGCACGGGTGACCTATGTAACACTCTAGGTGTTAGGCTTGCACTTTTGCACTTGCAGTGCATGAGCATAACCATCATTCATTCATATATGAGCATTAACATATGAAACATACAAGAGAAACATATGAAACATTCATATGAAACATACCTTTGTTATTCTATGTGGCAACATGTGTATGCTTTATGGTCATGCTTGTTAATGCAAGTGGTTGATGTTGATCCCTAAAACACCTTAGACACACTTAGGATGCGAGGTGGAACAATGTTAATGTTGATGACTTAGCTCAATTATGCTTCTAGGTATTAGTTTGACTAGAAACCCCTCTAGAGTGCTTTTGTTT